GGCCAGACAGTCCCGCTTCTCCCGTTTGAGTCTGCGTCCCTAGCGACTCGCCCGGATCTGGGGCTCAGAGTCTAATGCTCCCTCCCGATTGTAAACACCCACGCCCTCCGCGCCGCGGCGCCGCCAGCCCGTTCCGCGTGCACACGCACCTGAGAATTTCACTTCAGCACTGCGCCTCCTCTGAGTCTGGATATGATATTCTCTTTACTCCTAGTTGTAGAATTTCCACTCAGCCAGCCCTCCTGTGGTTCTGGATGTTGTCCGTTCCCTTTTTCAGGCTTAATTTGAATTGGTTGTTTAAGGCAGCAATCTCCGGCGTTACCTTATGCCGCCATCTTCGGTTCTCCGAATATGTCATATTTTAACAACAACAAAAACTCCCTACCTTAAAATACCTAATTTTAACTTAATTGACTTTAACAAAGTTAACACTATAGGTGAATACTACTTCATAGTGAAAATGTTTTCCCTTAAGGACAATAATTAAGCACATCATCACTATTAAGATTAATAATAGTCATTCTGTTAAGACTAAAGTAATATTAAAAACTAAAGTCATAATGAAGAAAATATTTCATATGCATTGTCATTAGGAACTAGATACAAAATCTTAAATTAGAATTGTTGTATTACCCAAGTTTATTTTAAAAGAGATAACCACCTGTACCTGATAAGCAAACACCCCTTTTCCCCAAGAAGAAACGAAGCATTAATTCCTAAAGCAGTGATAAAGTGATAGTCCTGGTGCACTTATGAGAAGAAAGTAATGTGATTATTCCTAGTATGACACCAGTTCAAGACTGTACTGTCTATCAGTAAAGATTAACTGTCCATTGATTATGATGACCATATACTACTGTGATTAACTACAGGAACCCACTGGCCAAGTGGTTCTCCTGTGACGGCAAAGTATTAGAGCCTTGTCCAAATAGAGACATCTCTTACACTCTACTATTGCAGAATTAGGACAAATATTGACAACATAAAAGTATAAAAAGCCACTGTTGGCAAGAAAAATTGGCTTGGTGTATCATACATGTAACCAAATACGGCAATTCCTACAACTTTAGAGTATTGTTTAGTTATGGCATTGGTTCTCAATTCATTCAGAACTAACCCCAAATTGAAGTAGCTAAGAAAGGCCATTCTAGACGTAACGAATACTGTTATGCATAATTCACAAAACAACAAGAAAAATACAAGATGTTATTTTTGGCATATTAAACTTCATATGGACTGATGAACCGTAATGATTACAGTGGGCTATCTACACTAATAAAAGAGAAACATGGTAATTAGCATATGACCGCTACCCTTCCCATTGGCTAATCTGCAAGATATGCAAATTAACTGGCATCCAAGATGGCGACCGGCAGCCAGGCAGCTGATGCGAACAGGGAGGCTTGCTTGCTTCAGTGACGGAGGACTCCAAATTCCCCGCCTGACTTGCTGGCCTCTCAGCTGCAACTCTAAGTAACTATGTTGTAAATATAGAAGCTAAAAATACCCCAGAAACCTGCTTTACTCAGCAGGGCTTCAGCCAGCAGGACCGCAACATTGTATCAAATACAGACGGTAAACAAAGGCCAGAAAACTGTTTTCAGCAGCTGAACTAAAGCTGGCACAGAATTAAAAAAGAAAAAAGGAGCAGTTGGGAGCTTCAGTCCCAGCCTGAAAACAGCCCTCAGCCCCTCAGCCAGAGGGGCCAGGCACC